CTACTGATAATGTTGCAGTAGCGGATCCAGGTTTTTTGGGGGCTTCAGGATTCTTTAAAAATCATGTAGATTTCACCATTTCCCTCAATTTTCCCCACACGAAATAAATTAAAACATTAAGAGAAAACGATTCTTGAAACACGAACAGACGAATGACTGATGAAAAGTTTTAAGTCATTTTTGCAGTATACGCACCAAAGATTTGTAGAAATAAACACTTTTCAATCTGATGTGATGAAAAATTTACCGAGTTTCGGGGAGTGCTTTGGCATGTTGGATAGACGTAGTACGCAGGTATTCATAATCATGCAACAAATAAATTGAATCGAACATTGCAAATATGGTACAAGTAAATGATCAGGGTCTGTTTGTTGCTTTGGATAGTGTAGTAGCCAGAAGTAATTGGAAAATATTTTTCGCTGTCAAATTATCATATTTTTTTTTTTATCTTTCATGTTAATGAATTTTTCATATTACTACTATGGTTAAAGTTCTTGCTTTTAATATGAACTGTTATTTTTGTAACAGGTCATGGAACATCCCATACCATACTAGCAATATTGACAGCAAAACAAAAAAATAGTGACTGGTACCTGTTCTAGCCAAGAAAGAAATTGTTACAAGAAAGGCCTTTGATTATAATATGCTGCATTTCTGATGTCAAGTTGTTTGTGTGAAAAATAAAAATCTAATATATATTTTTGAATCCCCACCACCTAGGGATGCATCCAGTCAAATATGGTTGATATCCATCTCTAAGTTCCATAGAAGAAGTCGCTTAAAGCAATATAGCCAAATCGACCCCTTTTGGCCCCACCCCTCAGCCCCCTTGGAGGTCAGCCCCACCATTTGTACAATTTTGAATCCCCACTACCTAGGGATGTTCCACTCAAATATGGTTGAGGTCCATCATTTAGGTGTAGAGAAGAAGTCGCTTAAAGCAATATAGCCAAATAACCCTTTTTGGCCCCGCCCCTCAGCCCCCTTGGAGGTCAGCCCCACCATTTGTGCAATTTTGAATCCCCACTACCTAGGGATGTTCCACTCAAATATGGTTGAGGTCCATTATTTAGTTGTTGAGAAGAAGTCGCTTAAAGCAATATAGCCAAATCGACCCCTTTTGGCCCCGCCCCTCAGCCCCCTTGGAGGTCAGCCCTACCATATGTACAATTTTGAATCCCCGTGATTAAGATAGGTTGCTGCTTTTGCATTATTGAGCAGGGTCGAACTTAATCTGAAATTCATACTATATACAAAATGTACATGTAATGCATTTGACTTGATATACAATTACCGGTAGAATTATTTGCAAATGCTTATCATGTTTGTAAAGGCCACATTTGTCCTCTTTCCCCCATATCCAGTTTGATGCAACCTCTACCCGTCTGGTAACTGCCCCATACAAAGAATGTACCTGGTTCTTCTTTATGCTGCTAAATTTTACAACACCTACTGTACATGTAGCAACCTCTATGCTCACTATGGTATTAATAAGGGAAGCCCCAGCATCAAACCTCTTCCTGCACAATGTTGTCTTTCTTGCTTGAAATGAAAATTCAGAAATTTATTTTTACGATTTTGGGAATTTGACTATATTGCTATAAATGACTTCTTCTGTAGAATTATGCACTGGATATCAATCATATTTGGTTGGAAGCATGCATGGGAGGCAGGGATTTAAATTGTACAAGTAGTTGGGCTCACCCCCTTGGCTAAAAGGTGGGGCAAAAATCAGAGCAAACAATTTTTAACAAATTTCTCCCGTCGGAAGTAGCCGTCATATGTTTCCGTGTGTCTATATTGATTTAGTGTTCAAAGAAAGATAACTCGAATACATTAAGAAGAAATTCTCTACATTGACCTGCAAGAACAAAAGTTTCGTTTGGAATAAAAAAAAATCCAAAAAAAAAATCGGCAGGGAGATGTGGGCCTCATTTGCATACGACGTTTTTGTACGTTTGTCAGACTACAAAAAAGACTTTTTCATGAATGAAATATATCACCGTTTTTTCAGGTATGAACATATATAGAGCAATGGAGGCAGTTATCGACAGTCTAAGCTTCAAATTTGTTTTTCCAGTTAACCTTTTTGCGTAAGTTATTTTATGATGGCACTTCGAAGAAGTCGGGAAACGTACTCTATTTCATCATCTGCAATAAACGTACATGTGACGAATCGCGGGAGAAATCATTGTTTTGGTGGCATTAATGACAGGGGTAGTTATCGACAGGTGGAGGTAGTTATCGACAGCTAAATCAAAATGTTAATTATTTCTATTATTAATCTCTCATAATACATTCATTTGTTCTGACGTGTGTCCAATTGCTTAAAAAAGGTATAAACATGTCAAGTGATATGTTAAGTCATAAATGTAAACAAACACGCTCCCTTTTCTGCACGCATGCGCAGACAGTCACCGTCACAGCATTTTGATCAAACACAGTTTCTGGTTCCTTTTCAATATGGTGTCCCACCCCAATTTCATATTATTTTGATCCCCAGTGATGCATTCCAACAGCCCAAAAATTTTGAATTATGATGCATTTATCCTACAATGATAGAGATCAGAAATTTAATTCAAGAAAACATAATTGAATCTTCTTGAAATAATCATTGTGAAAATGTTTTTAGGTTCTTAATGTTCACAAGATAATTAGTTATATACCTCCTGCCTAACAGAACAATTTGCATCAACATTTAATCTATGTAATCAGGGACAGTATATAGAGGGGATTGCCAACTCTGCCCCAGTCAAGATTCTATAGCACGTCGCTTTTGTGTTTGTTCACCGAACCGCGAAGTCATCGAGAGCCCCTCTCGATCAGCCTGCGCTTGCGCACTAGCGTTAAAATTAACCACGCACCTGCTTTCGGTGTCATGTCACAATCTCGTCGAGATCGAAGCATTTTGATAACGGTTAGCCCTAATCGGGACTGTGTATTAGTAGGTCTTCTTTTTATCCCAGGGACAGGGCTATCGTTGCCACTATGTCTAGCCTTTCGGCTGTGTTGGTGGCTATTACAACAAACCACATTTCGTAAAGCACGTTCCAGTGAAAATAATGCTAATATTGACACTTTTTGACACAAAAATAACATAAGTTTAATTATATTAATTGCAATTAAAATGGGTTGGGTCGTTATAAAAATTATTCAGCTTTCTATTGCTGATAATTTAAAAAAGATCGGTCAAATACTTTTGGAGTGAGGTGGTTCACATACATGTGGGTTTTTTTTATCCCGCATTTTTTGTAACGGTTTTTAACAACACGTGCCCTTCGTTATCAGACGAGTAATTTCATCTGTGACATCGCTATCGTTCCCAATAATGCAAATCAAATCAGGCCTACTTAACATAGAAATTACTCAGCTGTTTATTGATATTAATTGTTTTAAAAAATATAATCGATAGTTTATAAAATTTAATCAAAACAGTGAGCAGTCACGAACTACTTTCGCAATAATGATTTACGTTCCAGTGAAAAATAATGCAGATATTTAGTCTTTTTGACACAAAAATAACACAAGTTAAATTATATTTTTTGCAATTAAAATGGGTTGGGTCGTTATAAAATTTATTCAGCTTTCTATTGTTGCTAATTTCAAAAAGATCAGTCAAATACTTTTGGAGTGAGGTGGTTCACATACATGTGGTTGTTTTTTTATCCCGCATGTTTGTCTATCGAAGCCCACCACAATACTCTGAACCACGCGTTACATCGCGTTTAAAAATAGAAAAATATAACCCAAAAACGAGACATCAATTACTATGATACCACAGATTTTATCAATTAAAAGTTATACAATCAGCTTATTACAATGGGATAAACAAATGACGTAAGAACACTTATCGAGATTGGTTTGTTTTCACACCAACTTCTGCATCTAACGAAGCGGTATCGACGCCATCTTGCTTTGTCAAAATTGAGATAGGTGGCGCTCGCTATCTGCTCCGGAATCAGGGGGAGGTAAGTCTAGATTGACGTGTCATAAAATTGGTAAGGCAGAGAGGGAGTTGCTAATCCCCTTCACTATACGTCCCTG